GAAAAAGCCAAAGACACTAAGAACTGCCACATTATCCATACTGGTTATTCTCTTGCCAGATACTAAAGCAGAAACCTCTCTTACTGTTTATCAACACTAAATAGACATTTTTAGATCAGAATTTACCTGCAGACTGCCCTATCCACTTTCCTCTCATGATCTGAGGCCTATGAACTTGTCAGCAATTACTAATGGTCTGCTGTAAGGAATCTCAAAGTTATGCATGTTTCTTTTTCAGGGATTCTGTTATTTATTTTTTTCACACAGCAAAAATAATGATCGATTTGTCATTACTGTCAATGCAGAAAGGAATGAGTATCAAGGTTTTCCCATATCTCTTAATATCATGTAAACTGATGATGTTAAATTAGGGTCTCATTATTTACACATAAGAAAAATTCACTATAAACGTATGCATAGGTGTTGAGGAAAAACTGCCACAACTACAGTATTCAGATTATCCATTGCTCTTATTCTGTATACTGCAGCAGTATCACGAAATTACACGTAGTTTATATGGAGATTGCAAAACAGTAATCCAGCTGATTTGAACAGAAGCACTCAGTAAGTTTCTTCTTTACCATGTATCTAACAATTTCAACAATTTCAACCATACCCGAAATCTCTGTCCTACCATTAGGGATGTTTTCGCAGATATCAGGTATTCCACCGACGTGATCATAATGCCAATGTGTCACTAAAATTTCTTGAATTGAGACGCTGAACTCTGACAGTGCCTGCTTTAACCAGCCAATATATTCAGGAGTATTTGGCTGCCCAGTGTCAATAAGGACTCTTCTACACCCGGACAAAAGAAAAAAAAAAAGAAGAAAAAACCCCCAACAGTGAGATAATTCAGAGTGCTCATGTGAGTTAATGTTACACTGCACAGCAATGTGGTTGTCAAAGATGCCTCCATATTCCAGACACCTCCTCTTCCCTCCCTGATATTCCACCACCCCGTGACAGAGCAATTTACAAAGGGAGATAAATAAATAATAAATAAACTTAGACCACACATTTCCAACT